GCAGCACTGTCAGTGTGCTGGCTTTGCATTTAGTGAGGTCTGATCTACTGGCACAGATCACCATCAGCATTGTTTCCATTTCCTGAGGTGCTGGGTTGTCCCACAAAAACTGCTGTCCCCAGGCCTCCCCACACCAACAAAGGAGTCTAATGTCAGGTCTTCTCCTTGTATCTCTTCCAAGACCTGTGCTATACCCTTATTTTTCGCCACCTGCCCCAAAGAGGGCCTTTTTACCACCTCTGTCACAGTAATAGTTTGGATGCCACTATTTCACCTCATCAAACTCACCAGGCCCCTCAGAAGTGCAGGGTGGCTCTGTACCCCCTAGCTTTCCCCATCTACAACTGATGGGGAATTTGCTTCATTTCAGAAAAGACAGAGTTCCAATGTAGTTAGTTATGTGGCAGTCCCCACCACAGCTGCCCCACAGCAGTCTCCTTCTCTCCTGCTAACAGCAACCAAAATCCTCTGTTCTTGCCTCCCTTTCTCTGCTCTCCTTGCCAGAACGCTTGGTTTTCCTCATTTCTGTGTAAAGACCTGGTAAATCCAGGATGAGCAGAAAGCACAAAGTGCCGTCACTGCTGTGCTTCCATGCCATGATTTCATGCAGGGCAGCACAGCTCTTGCTCTGCATCACTGATTATAGAAATACAATTATTGTGTGTTGCTTATCAACTGAAATCTTTTTTTGTGAGAGGCTGTGGGATGATATATTATGAGCGATGAGTGTGTGGTGAATACTCTTCTAGGAAATTTTAAAGTAAGTATTGATAAATGCTCAGATAGTAAGAAAGAAAATGGAAAAAAAATAAAATTAAAGAGCTAGTAATAATCCATACTATATATTTGTAGAATCTCATCATTCATCACTGACAAAATGAAGCTTGCTTAGCATAATAAGCATCAATCGCCAATCTATTCTTCAGCCCTTGAGGATGTAGTTATTGTGAATTATACAGCAATAAACAGCACTAAAATCATTTTAACTTTTTCTTTAGCTTTGATTTACTGCCCTGAGCACCATAAAATTGAAATTGGTATAGAAACACTGGAAAAAGTCATGATAAATTGGACCTTAAGGACTTGATCTGTAATACTCAATAGTCACACTTCAGATAGTTGTGAATAAAAAGGTGTTGCTTACAGCAAAACAAAATTGCATTCTCTAAGTAACGCAGCTGGCAATATTTCTGTGTTAGGCAATCAGCTATAACTTTTGCAATGTGGGGTGTGACCCCAGCTCTCACTGAAAATTATGCACACCCAGTTCTCTCAGTGGTTTGCAAGAGCATTTCTGTACACTGTACAACCATACCTTCCAGTTCATTTGCAAATTCTCTAGAGCATGTACTGGGACCTGAGTTTGGCCTGCCATCCAGCTTTGTGGGACCCCGGGTTTGATTAGGCATCCACACAACACAGCAATACAAATACATCATTAATAATGATAATCAGTAGACATGCACATTTGGAATGAAAAGAGAATGAAGCATCCAAAAGTCTAAGAAATGAACCATGGACAAGAAATGAATCATTGGAGATGAACTATATTTTTTTTGTTGCCAACTGTTTCCTCTTCAGTAAACTCTGACAAATGTCCAGGAGGTATTTCAAAGCTTGAGTTTCCTAGTGCAAATGAAGAGTAAATGAACCACAACAGACATTTGGGTTGCTTTTATTTTTAACTAGTGGTGGCACATAATCAATTTTTCCAACCAACATTCTTGATTTTGGAGATAAAATGTAATGAATGTAATGTGCACGTACAGTGATTTCCATCACCAAGTATTTCACAAAGACCTTGCAAAAGAATGAATAAAGCATTACATCATCTAACATGAGCTGAGGGACTGAGAACTGTTGCGTAGCTCAGACAGTATCTAAATCTCTGCTTTGTTTGTTCAAAGAGAAGATGTCATTTTATGATATTTAAGGCATGCATGAGATTATGCTTACTAGGACATTAAGAAATTATATTAAATCAGACAATATGAACATCTCTCAATCATAAAGAAAATTGAAATTCAACTTACTTCTGAGAGCACTTGTGAAGATTATAGTTATGTGATTGGAGAGGTGATGTGCGTGCAATACGCACATGCTCTGGGGGTGTTTGTCAGATGGTGTGAAACTCTTACGCTCTCATCTCAGAAAACATATTTACCTGCAAATAAAACCAATTAGCTTCCATTTCCCACTCTTCCACAGCAAGATTTGGATCTCAGTGTTTTACAGTCTGACTCCAAGATCCCACATGGCAAAGGGATCTGGTCGGCTTACTTTTGGCCTGCTTCATAGCTGCCTACTGCAGGAGACCACACAGTCCTCCAGAGACAAAGACACTGCACTGCAGGCAAGGGGTGACCTCAGTGCTTTAAAAAGTCTGAAGTAAAAGCAGAAGGTGGCCTTCCTCACTTCCAACCTGCCAGATGTCTCCCCAACACACTTGTTAACCAACACACCATTTGTTGCTGAGACATAAGCAAGGAGGCTAACTTTAGCAAGGATAATCACCACAGAGTAAGATCTTGGCACTCTAATCTAACCAGCTATTTTGACTACACTGTTCTGTGTTTTTTTTGTTGTTTTTTGTTTGTTTGTTTGTTTTAATATTAGAATAATAAAAAATGTCAACAAAGCATGCATTCAACAAAGCATGCATTCAACAAAGCATGCATTCAGCCTGCAGTTTTCTTTCCCTTCTCTTCTGATTTCCACTATTTGTAAGATTAAGAGGTAAGCTTGCTATAAGGAAAAATGGATTTTTTATCTAGTTATAGATCTTTGGCAACAAATCCTAACTAGTTCACATCACCTGAAAACCAAGCTGGTATGTTGCATCCCTTCAGTCTAAAAGCTTTGTGACCTGTATATTACTATCCTGACTTAAATTAGTTCTTACTTCTGTGCTGGTCTCAGTAAAGCACCGTGAAAATTTTAAGATATTATAAATAATGGATAACCTTGAGAAGCATTGTCTCACAGTATAAGTTAGCAATTCCACGTGCCCTAAAACTACTGCAGTTTAGTTTCCTATAGATCTGTATCTCTCAGTTGCTTCACTTTGATGGTTAAAACAAATGAAGCCTTTTATGTAGTTGTAGCATTTACAAGGATCCAAATGAGAAATTGATCAACAAGTACTAAAACCATATATATGCACAGAAAAGCATATGATCATGTGTCACATTTCTACAGGAATCCAACGAGTGAGGAATAGAACTAAGTTAAGCACTGAGTGCTAAGTGGTATTCAGTACTGTGGTACCAAACAGCAGGAAATGGGAAAGTGGGTTAGGGCAGGCTTAAGAAAAAGAATCGAAGAGAAGGCTCTAGCAGGAAATAGCTGGAAGAAACTGAGCCCTGCCTGCCAGTGAGTTTTATTTGCTCTTCAGACAACAATGGCAACCACAGACATGGTGTACAGGATATACTCTCCTCTGAACATATACAAGCAAAACACTGAGAGTGTGAATTTTATCTATCAAATTGGTACTATAAAAAATCCCCAACTCCCTCTGGTGCTGTGAGGACAGAGAAGTCAAAAGCTGTGTTTCTCAGATACTAGTGTATCAGACAACATATAATTAACTAAGATGGTTAAACAACCAAGGAAAGCAAGATAATATCCACTGGCCCAACTAAATGTTTCTCCTCCACTTTTTGAATGGAATCCAGTCAGAAAACAGTCTTCAGCATGGCCAAGTGTATCAGAAGTTGTTTTTTTATTTAGCTTCTTGGTAAGCCCTTTGGCAGCCTGGAATGTTATGCAAAGTGGTAGTTAGGGAGGTCTGCTGCATTTAGGAAAGCTAATTACAGAGTGGTTGGAAGACAGAGAGATGCCAAGTGGGAGGAAGGTTCCACTTCAGAAATGGAACACCAGTAAAGGCAGGAGGGCATGTAATCAGTCAGAGCTTGCCTTTATCAACCAAGAATGATTACAGATGTGGCTTCCAGCTTGCTGAATATTATCAGCCCTGAGAATTAATTCAGATTTCTGACCTGTACGTGAAACTGTTATCTCAGACCCTCTCATATACAGATGTATAGTACTGAGTTGTTCCAGAGAGCAAAAGTGATTTGATTTACTTAAGTGGTTTCTCACTCTAATAAATCTACGGCATGTATTATTAGTCACTTTCTCTGATTCAGAAAACAGCGATCTTACAGGAAGAATGGCTGATATATTTTGAACACGACAGTCTACGTGCACCTTTATTCCAAGAAAAAGTAGCAAGAGTGGTACTGCCTGCGGCGGAGAAAAGCCACAAACCCTTTCACTACTAACACACTCAGGTGTGCGAAATGCTACTTCACAGTGCTGGGAGGAGGAAGGAAGAGGGAAAGCAGCGCACGTTTATTTCTGGGTTATAATACGCTTAAAGCACAAACAATAAAGCTGGAACCTGTGGCCTGCCTGTAACGATCTCACAGCAGTTTGGAAGCACGAGGAGCAAAGCTCACACTTGATATAAGCAGCTTAAGGAAGTCTCGAGGACAAAGAACGCGTGCCGATAAACCACCTCCACCGGTGTACCTGGGTGCAACCAGTGCACAAAACCCGCCAACCAACCCAAGCTACGTCTGCACACGCGGGGAAACGGCTGCTGGCAGGAACGAAACGCGTCTCCCCAGGCCGGGCCGCTGCTCCCCGTCACAGCACCGCTGCCCACCACGCTCCGTTCCGCTGCGTGCCACGGCCACGAGTAGGGGCTGAATGGAACCCGCGAGCGCTCTTCAAATAACGCTTTCTGGTGGTTTTTCGCGGGCCTTCATGCCCCACACATAGCATCCCCGTCAGCAGAGAGTAGCACGGGGCATCGCCGCCCTCCCCTTTCCCCCTACACCATGGCCGTAACAGGGCAAGCGCAGGCTAACAGCACCGCTCCGGCCCCACCGCCATGAGCGCCCTACCCAGGCGCTGCCCCCCCCCCCAACCCCACCCCGCCCGCGGACCACGTGGCCCGGTCTCCGCAGCGCTGCCGCGCATGCGCCGTGCCCGCTCCCCCTGCCCGGCCGAGGCAGGGGCTCTGAATCAAAATGGCGGCGGCCGGAGCGGGGCCGGGAGGGAGCGGGCGGCGCTGAGCGGGGAGGATGGCGGCCGCGAACGGCTGCCGGAGGTGAGGCGCCGTCGGGGAGCCGCGCGGGGGCAGGCGGGCGGGGAAGGAGGGCCGAGTTCGGTGTCACGGTGGGGGAGGGCAGGAGGTGAGATCGCCGACCACCCCTCAGCGGGGCTCCCGGGACGTAGCGCCGCGCTCCGGCCGCGGTCGGGCTTTCCCCGGGGCCGCCTCGTCGCGCCGCGCGGGCCCGCGGGGTCCTCGCCGTGGGGGAAGCGGCCCGTCTCGTAGCCGGGCGAGCGGGGCGGCCCGCGGGTAGCCCCGGGCCGGAGCGCGGGGGTCCGGCCCTAAGGCCGCTCTGAGCGGCGCTGCCGCCGCCGTGCGGGTTCGGGCCCCACAGGGTCGGAGTGCGGAACTCGGTCCGGCGGCAGCCGTGCCCCAGCGGCTCCCGGACCTGCGCCGGGGTTTCCCCTCCGCCTCGCCCGGCTCAGCCCTTCGCGTCCTGCTCCCGTCCCCGTGTTGCTCCTGAGGAAACTTGCGGGGCTCAGCGCGCTGTGCCTCTGGAATATTCCTGCTGCGAGTGGGATAGCGTCCTGTGTCGGTTCGTGCCTCCGCTTGCTCGCCCCCAGCATCTCTTCTGAGGCCGTCGGGTGAAAGAGGACACGCAAGTGAAGAGCTAACGTGAAATACAGCGGGAAGATCACAAAGTGCTCGTTGAGGCCATGATTTACGCGTTTACTTTGTGTGAGAATTTAGCCCTGAGAATGCAGCGTTGCTTGAGGATTTGCTCCGAGCCAGTGTAACGTAATACACGCATCTGAAGCGTTTGGCAGATGCACCGTTGAGATGTGGTCACTTCAGGTTTTACCACATATTGCGTGCTCTGCTCCCTTTTAGAATAGGGGGGAATAAAAATAGAATCTTGGGTGTAAAAATTTCACTGCTCATAACTTTGTTGAGGCTCTGAGCAGCTCCATGACTTAAAGCTTCACCGGCGCTGTCTGAAAGATGTTGAGGAGAACTGCTCTTCTGAGTCTTCTTTATTGCTTCAGAGTAAACCTTAGACCACATTCTCCGTTTCTCCATGTTAATGAGGAAGGGGATTCCTTTTAGATCCCTCTCTACTTGAGCCTTTTGATTTAAGAAGGCAGGACAAATGTTTCCTTCTTCCTGCCCTCCTCTTGGGTGTGGAACAAGTGTCTCTTATTTAGTAATATTCAGGCTCTGTTGATCGTACAGTTTAAAGTGAAGATAATGTACTGTGAAGGTATGGCTTGTGATGTTCTCCCCCTTCACAGAATAACTTAATGCTAAGTTGTCTTAGTTGATCAATGGCAATGCCAGTGATCCGTGTAAGAATTTGCTACTTTGTTGCACCAAGTGACTTTGTATAAACTTCACATCAGTTCATTCTTAGGTGTGAATCTATGTCTTGGTGAATACGGTTTGTGTCTTCAGTTACAGTATTAAGCTGCCGATTGCTGTCTGTTTTTGTTCAGGTTAGTTAGACTTCCGCAGCTGAACTGCATTCAGGTTATCTCAGAAATAGAGGTGAATGTTTCTCATAGAATGTACAGCCGGTATCTATTTCTTTTCTTTGTAGGTAAGGGGGAAGAAAGTATTGAATCCTTTGTTTTGGCTCAGCTGTGCTATCCATTGTTTTTCTTGCTTTTGACCTTAGCCAGTATATGAATGGGCTTGATTCTCTGATCTAATTTTGTGTGTTTAAGTATACAAGGAGCACATACACGAGTCATCTTGGTTAGCTTTTTGTGGCATTATTGTAACTGCTGGTTTCTTAAAATCCTGTTGTCCTAACAATGTGAGGGGAGCTTTCTTCATACTTCTAGATTCCTTGCTGAGTCATAGATACAGTAGTGTTGTAATGCTTGTAGTTGGCATTGACTTATTTGCAAAGAGTCATACATGAAATAATTATTTTTATAAGTGCTCCTGAAAGACTTGTGTGAACTTGTCATTGCATTTTTTTTTAATTTCTTTTTTTTTTTCCTCCTGTTTTTTAAGCTTGTCTGGGATGCTCAGAACTTTTCATTATGGAGGCACGTTGCTCATTCTTTAAGTAGAGTACAATATGCTGCCTTTGCAGGCAGCTGTTTGAATATAATTCAGTGGAGCTGTCAGAGCTTGATGAATAGACTAACAAAACAGGGAGCTTGGCTTTGAAAGAGGCTTTTCAAGTTGCTGCATACCTGGTATCAGGTTTACACCTGTCTGATGGTTACTGATGGTAACTAACCCAGTGGCTTGGACAGCGTCGTCTTCTGTCCTCCTTTGCAGGTTGCAATGGTGCTATGGTAGCTTGTATGTGGTCCTGTGCATGGCTGTAGCGATGCTAGCTAACCCTGGTGTTGTACTAGCGTGTGGTCGTGATGTATTGGACCATGTATAAGAAAAAGCAGATGTGGTCTGATAGCCCCACAGTGATGACAGAGGTAATTGTGGCTGCCATGCAGAATCAAAAGACATAACATCCTATGGACGTCCCAAGTGGAATAACATGAACTACATGCAGTCCATCTTCCGAAAAAGAAATAAGTGTTCTTACTGCTGATAAAAATCTGAGTGCTTCTGTGGCAAATCCTGATAGAAAACTTCTAGGTTCAGACTTAATTGTTGTTTTTGCATTTCTGAACACGTTTACATTAATTTTTTATATCTATTACTAGATCACTGACTTGTACCACTTTCTCAAACAACAGGACTAGAAAACCTGTTGTACAGACTTCTAGTGCAGGCTGGGAATCCTTGTTCAGATCTAAGTTTCCAGTGAGTCATATAATTACTATATCTCTGTTTCATTACCCAAGCTCTTTCAAGAATGAGGCTTATCAATGTATCTTTGAGTAGAAGCAACTGTAGATTTTTAGAGCATTATGTCCTTTGTTGCTTACCAATATGCCTAAACTACAGTATGAAGGGCCTGCAGATGCAGAGTTCACTGGTCTTAGTTTTTGTGCCTATTTAGTCTGTCCTGCACGTCTCCCAAGCAGGATGCCAATTGTAATGATGTCTTCTGCATAATGAATGGGTGCTAGGAGATCTGAAGTGTTTTATGTAGACCATGTCAGCCCTGTCTTGGTGAGAGTAGAATGGGCAAGAAGAAAAATGGATGGGAAGGAGTTGAATGCTGACGGTGGTTTATACGAGACATTTTGTAGCTTACTGCCTGAAGTTCTGTGCAGCTTTAGCATCATTTTCAACATGTTGTTATCTCCTGTCTTTTGGTTTGTTGTTGTTTCTGTTTCCTGTCATTTCCAGTGTTCCAGCATGAGGTGGTCATGTCAGACGTTACCTGCAACCGAGGTGATCTTTTTGTTCTCAGTTTCTTGTCCTGGGGACTAGAGCAGAGCACTCTCTTGTTTTATTGGAATGTGTGTGAGGTTCCAGATAGATGTTTAGCTCAAACATTTGTTTGCAGCCGCTTTTTCCTGCTTCCGGCAGTCTCTTCAGCTGCACTGGTGAAGCTGTTTACATGGCTTCATTCTGAAACTGGTATCTGAAAAATGAATGACTGAAACACAAAAGAGCTTTAGATAAGGCCCTAGATCTGGGGCATCATATTTCTGTGGAAAGCTTGCTTGCTTCCATGGTATAGAGACAAGGCCAGGTAGGTAATGTGGTAGTGGGACTGTACCTCAAGCATATTGAGTTGAAGTACATGTGTAACTAGATGCTCAGTTTTAAATCCAATTTGCTTACTTCATTGTGTGCAACTTCTGTAGAACATTACACCACGCAGTGCTAAATGTGTACTTTAGCAACTTGTGGAACTTGTGAGCTTTCAGATCACTTCTCAGCCTGCTGAAGTTTTTCTGATGTCTGTAGATTTAAATTATTTCTCTAAATGGAAAATAGGAATTACCATGTTTTACCAGAGTGATATAACATCCAAAATATTTTAACAGCAGTCAAACCTGATTAGGTAGAAACAGCCCTTAGTATGATGAGTGTGGAGGGGAAAATTGGATGGGTGACAGTCAAGGGTAATGTTTTTCCAGATTGGTTTCTTAAGTTTCAGAAGTATTTTCAGGAGACCTTGTTTTGTTTTTCAAATTTGACTTTTAAACACTACCTGTTATCTTTGTGCCCATTTGGTTGGTAAGTCCTGTTTGATCTTTGTGCACAAATATTGTCTGGGTTCCTACTTTGTGTTCTGTATAGTGTTCATATTTCACTGTTCAGTTGTTCCTGTATATGAAGGATGGGCTATTTTATCTGTGCTTCTTTGCTTTTCTTACCTGTTCTGGACTGACAACACTGTATGACATTATAAACAGTAGGTTTTTTAAAAAAAACTCTCAAGAATCTTTCTAGTGCTGCTGTTAATGCCAGACTTTAACTGCCCTCTTTGATATGGGATTATTTTAGGACACTGACTTGGGGCTTTTAAGACGAATCTCACTTTCCTGATGCTCTTCATCATTTCAAGTCTTAACTGTCTTCCACTGGGAAGTGCTTTAGGCATGGATCAAGCTACTTAAGAGCATCCTCCTGTGAGGTCTTCCTCTAACTTGGAAGCCTTGTCCAAAGTCAGTTAAACTTGTTGCACTGTAAAGCCATTTCATGCTTCTGCTGATGGGAAATGTGACAAAATGGAAAAGGTTTACTTGAAACAATTTGATAGCTATTGCTTGATCTTTTAGTTATGCGTTTTGTGAGCGGATTCCTTTCTTACAATCTAGTGCTGGAACAGGTTGTCCAGAGAGGTTGTGGATGCCCCATCCCTGGATGTGTTCAAGGCCAGGCTGGATGTGGCTCTGGGCAGCCTGATCTGGTGGTTGGTGACCCTGCACATAGTAGGGGGGCTGAAAATAGATGATCATTACGGTCCTGTTCAACCCAGATTCTGTGATTTCCTCTTGGAGAAGGGAGGGGTATAGGCAGACATACACAAAGTGAAATTTTCTATTTTTCATTTCCATTAAAAAAAAAATCACATACAGAAGTGTGTTAAAGGTTGATGCCTTATACCTTAGTCTATCCTGTAATGGGCATCTCAGTTTCAGATGTCTGAAGATGTGAAATAAATACACCTCTGTCCA